AAAAATTGATAATTTTTTATTTTCAACTGCCAGATCTGTATCAGAAACTGTTTATTCTGCATACTTTTTTATCTGATTTAATTGACCAAATCCAACAATTAAAAACTAAACTCTACCTCAAAAAAGGCCCTACCGAGAAACTCCTATTAATTTATAGGGAAATAGTAGGAAATAGGCCAATATGAAAAGTTTAAGAAAGTATATAGGCCAATTTTTAGTTATAAAAATTAATAGGCTATAATTTATCAAGTTATGGTTCATAACCAGATAAATTATGGACAAACTTGTCAAGTTATGGTTCATAATCAGCTAAGTTATGGACAATAACTTGTCAAGTTATGGTTCATAACCAGACAAGTTATGGACGAAAACAGTAATTTGGCCTGTTTATTAACTTATGTAAACTATTGGCCTATTAATTTTAATTCATCTCAAGTCTTGGCCTATTTTCCTCTTTTTTCCTAATTTATATAACCGTCTTCATCATCTTAGCAATATAAATACATATATATATATATACACACATACATATATATGAGGAAAATTTCATATTATTACTCTATATTTTTAATAATTTTAAATTAGTGTTCTGATGTTTTAAAATACCATTTTTTAGTACATTGATGTCTTTTTTAAATGCAAAATGTCCAGAATGTCCTCGTTAATTAAATAGAAACTTATAATTTTAAATTTTAGTAAAATATTTATAAACATTTAAAAGTTTTTAAAATATTAAAATAAAAAACACAAACACCCTCTCTCCCCTGTTTCTCAGGCAATGTCTCTTTTCTCTCGCTTTCTTATCTCTCGACAAACTAAACCAAAAGAAAAAAACCCTAAGAACTAAGAATAAATCAAAATAAAAAAAACAAAACAAAACAAATCCACAAAATTCAAAACCAAACAGATCTCTGTTTTTCAACAAAATCAATTATATCAAGATCTAAAAAATAGAGAACGACCAGCAAACGAGGAGGAGCATACACGCCAAAGCGAACAAGGAGCATCATATTCATCATAGTAATAGTCTCAACTATGGCTGAAAAAAATAGAGCTAATGACTGTAAACTTACTAATAGGCCCTTCAAGGTATATTGTTCTTTTAAATTTTAAAAAATTAATTTCAATCATGTTATATGTTCCGACCCTGATCTATTACGCATCTCTAGCTCGGCAGGAGATTGCAGACTTACTATGCTATCATATTAAAAGTCGTAGGAGAAAAATACGAAAAAAAAGAGAGAAAAGTAGATGGTTTGCTATGATTTTGTGCATGTCTATTATTAGAGAGAAGGAGAAAATAGCATATTTAGTAAGGTATATAATAAATTATAACATATTTGTTTTAAAATAGCAGATTATAACATAATTTGATATTTCAAATTTTAAACATTATTAAAGCCCAAAAGTACCCCTAAGCCTCTTTTCCACCGCTCTCTTTCCCTCTCTAGTCAAGTCCATCAAAGCTAGCTCCCGTGGCCAGTTTTCAATGACTAGCATCGACGGCCAATTATATGGAGTCATGTGGAGTCTAGATCTTTGTATTTATGGGAACAAATCCTCATCGGCACAAAAAGAGTTTTCCTATACATATATATATATATATATATAACAGTATTCTCTTTATGTATACTGATGAAACGTTATTATTAATATATGTTGCAATCTTTAAATACATACTAATAAAATTATCACACTTCATGAGTTTGTACATAAATTGACATTAGAGTTGGTATTTTTAGTACTATTTGTTGGATTTCTAGACTTTTAGTTGAGTCCTTGTCCCACATCGATTGTGAATGAAACATTTTGTCTTCTGTAAGCTTATAAATAAAAGCCTAGATTATCATTTTAATTTTGAGAAACAAAAGATTTCTAATTCAAGAATGACCATTATAACAAAATGGACAAAAGGTTTTGTTTTTGACTTATATGGGATCTGTGTGACTCTTATTTAAAAGGTTTCTATTTTCTAAAAAATAAAGAGGTTCTGCTTTTTAATTTACCTAGAAAAGAAAGCTTATTTATCCCAAATAAAAATATTATTGAGACAAGCAATTTTAGATGCAGGATTTGAATAAAAGATACAAGCAATTTTAGATGCAGGATTTGAATAAAAGATACGTAGTACGTATTTCAGATATTTCTTTTTTCATTTAACAAGATATGATATTCACAGATACATGCATTTTGGGTACTTGGTCTTTTGAAATTCTAGGTCGATCATATAAATGATGTGTTTACTTGAACGTGATCGTATAAATGATGTGTTTACTTGAACGTGATCAGAGTGACGATGTTAACAAAGAAGTAGAGTGAATAATTAAAAATTTTACTATGTCTTGTAAGTAAATTTCATGTATTTAATTTTAAAAAATATATTTCGTAAATGCAATCCCCTATTTCGTACCTTAGAAAATTGCATAGCTATTCTACTATCATACGAAAAATCGTAATAGGTAAATACAAAAAAAAATGATTTTTTTTAATTAAAATGAAAAAGTTTGCTGTTTTTTCTGATAATTTTTTACTTTCAATCATCAAATTTGTATCAAAAATTGTATATTATGTATATTTTTTAATCTGATTTAATTGACCAAATCGAACAATCAAAAACTAAACCCTACCTCAAAATTGGCCCGGAGAAACTCCTATTAATTTACATAACTGTCTTCATCATCTTAGCAATATACATATATACACACACACACACATACATTTATATGAGGAAAATTTCATATTAGTGCTCTATATTTTTAATCATTTTGAATTAGCGCCCTAGCGTTTAAAAAAATCAATTTTTTTAGTACCTTGATGTCCTTTTTTAAAAGTAAAATGTCCAGAATGTCCTCATTAATTAAAGAGAAACTTATAATTTTAAATTTTAGGAAAATATTTATAAACGTTTAAAAGTTTTAAAAAAAATTAAAATAAAAAACACACACTCTCAATCACCTGTTTCTCAAGCAATCTCTCTTTTCTCCCCCTTTCTTATCTCTCGACAAACTAAAAAAAAAACGTAAGAACTAAGAATAAATAAATAAATAAAAACAAATCCACAAAAATCAAAACCAAAAAGATCTCAGTTTTTCAACAAAATCAATTATATCAAGATCTAAAAAATAGAGAACGACCAGCAAACGAGGAGGAGCATACACGCCAAAGCGAACAAGGAGCATCATATTCATCATAGTAATAGTCTCAACTATGGTTGAAAAACATAGAGCTAATGACTGAAAACTTACTAATAGGTCCTTCAAGGCATATTGTTCTTTTAAATTTTAAAAAATTAATTTCAATCATGTTATATGTCCCGACCCTCTATTATGCATCTCTAGCTCGGCAGGAGATTGCAGACTTACTATGCTATCATATTAAAAGTCGTAGGAGAAAATACGCAAAAAAAAAAAGGAGAGAGAGAAAAGTACATGGTTTGTTATAATTTTGTGCAGGTCTATTATTAGAGAGAATGAAGAAAATAGCATATTTAATAGGATATTTATTAAATTATAACATATTTTAAAATAATAGATTATAGCATAATTTGATATTTCAAGTTTTAAACATTATTAAAGCCCAAAAGTACCCCTAAGCCTCCTTTCCACTGCTCTCTTTCCCCCTCTAATCAAGTCCATCAAAGCCGGCTCCCGTGACCGATGGCTGGCTCCGGTGACTAGCGACCAATTTTCAATGACTAGCCAATTTCTAACAACTGGTAAATATTATATTTACTAATAAATGCTATAGTTCTGATAAATCTCATATTTATCAGTAAATTTCATATTTATTAGTAAATATAACACTGCAGGAACCGATGCCTAATAAATATCGTATTTACTTGTAATATCATATATTAGTAAATTCCATATTTATTCAAAAATTTTAGCCAACATTAAAAATACACAGTCCCAGAGAAACAAAAGAAAAGTAAAAAACTGGGCAAGATCTGAAGGAATTCTCTCACCATTAGAACTGGAGCGAAGCCATCCAGAGGTCGGAGTCGCACGCGGATTTGTGCAAAGATTAAAGATATCCAATCTTTCGCGACAGAGTGCGCCGACAATGGTGACGACTTCTATCGAAAATCACCGAGAACACGTCGAGCTCACTGAGATCTCCGTCGCCATCACGACTCCAACTCGTGACGTCTCTAGTGGAAAGAATCGTCGGAGATCATGGTGATCTTCTCTGCCCTCATGAAGTCGTGAAAACTCTACTGGAGTCACTCAGATTGGAGGCGAGTGAATGACGCAACGTCGTCTTTCCTCGGTTCCCGTAGTCGCGAGATCAGAGTTGCCAAGATCAGAGGTAGGTTCTCGGAGATCACGACGACATGTTGAGAGAGAGAGAGAGAGGGGGAGGGGGGGAAAGAGACAGAGAGAGAGGAAAATTGGTGTTTGACTGCTAAGAGAGTTTGAGAGAAAGGAATAGATGAAACCCTAAAAAAAGATAAAGTTAGAAAAAAAATTATTTCAGATTGCAAATTGAAAATGTACCATAATTTATCACCATTTTAAAAATGTACTATTTACTTCAAACATAAGTATAAAATATGTTATATGGTGCATTTTTCTCTATTATTTATGTTATTGTAAATAATTGAGTGTTATTGTGGTTTTTTATTTTCTTTTTATTAATTAAATAATAATTATTTACTTTTAAGTGGAGTGATATAAATAATATTTTTTTATCATATCTTAAGTGGTGTTTATGATTTTTTCTTAGGAAAAAGAAATTTAAACTTTTAAAGTTTACATAAGTGTCGTCATCAAACAGCTTAGTTCGCTAAATATTTGGAGTTTATAAAAGAGCCATAAAATATATGCACGCCAAAGCGAACGCAGAGCACCAATATTCATAATATAGAGTCGACACAAAATATTTAGACATGGATTTTAGGGTTAAGGATTAATTACAAAAAAAAAAAAAAAAAAAATTTCTGAACTATAACATTTGTAATACTTTACCTCCGATCTTTAAAATGTGATATCAGTTTCTTCTTAATTATGATTCTGATTCTTGTAAGTCCAATAGGACCATCCAAAAGTGGCACGTCCATAGACATCTAACATAGCTCTTGCAAATCTTTGATAGTCTTGCATTGTTGCTTCTTTCACGTCCCATTTTGCACTCCATTCCCCTGCAAAATATTTTCCTCTTGAGCTCTTATCATATGAATAATACACTATAAAGCAAGATAATCCTTATAATGTGGAAAATATACATCAAGTTGAGTACTTAACCCTTTTACTAAAGAATCTGAATTCATAAGAGAATAATACAAAAACTTGCCCTACCTTCCATTCACGATAATATAATTCAAATTTGTAATATATGCAACGTAGACCTTTAACTGTATTGCTAAATTAATAAATATATATAGTGTAGAAGTTATAAGATCCGGAGTGTCGCTCCCTTTGTGTTCCTAAAGATTACGCTAATTAATTAGAATATTAGTTCGGTATTTGATGTGGTATTTTAGTTTCAGGTGGCTTAGACAAAAAAAATTTCAAGGAAAATATCTCTCCCTTATTCTATATGCAGGGTATAAGTTTTAAATCAAAAAATTATATGTAATAAATAAATGAAGAAAATTATATTATATATAAAGGTTTACATATGATGTACTATAAATCCACTAATTATATGCTTAGTCCAGATAACTACGTAAGGTCATTCTAGAACATATTGTGATTTATGACAAACTCATACTTGTTACGAAGTTTTTTTTTTAGCTAATAGAGTAGGGTATCAATTTATATTTAGTTATTATTACTAATTAATGATTCAACATTGATAAAAAAATGTTATAGAACATCGTAGGCCCATGGTAGAATCTATTAAGTGGTGGCGTTTAACGCCGATATTGATTCTCCCAAATGCTTTTTTCAACGCTCACTTAGAAAGTAGACGTATATGATACTCTTTTTTTGTTTTTTCTTTTTTTGAAGAGAATATACCATGCTTACTGATTACAACTTTTTGAAACTTTTAGTCCAATAGTACAACTTACCAACAAAAGTGTAAGGACCATTCGAAGTTGTCAAAGTTCCAAGATCAGAAGCTCCTTGATTGAAGATATAATCAATGTGTTGTTGCGCATTCATGCTTCGGAACATTTCAGTATAAAGGCTATAGTAATGCACGTCAATTACCACACTATTGAGGCCACTATCAAATGATAGAAGCTCTTTTGGATCCGTTTGATCTGCGGGGCCCAATCGGTTTGATAGAATCACATAAGGTGCGTTTGGAGTAAGGATCCGTGTCATGGTTCAGATCATAGTTCGTGGCTCGCTACAGTATTTTCTTTCACAAAAAACACACTTAGTGTTCGTTTAGTTCGTATATTCAGAATCATTATTCAGAATTATTCTCGTTTTACGTGTATTTTTTGTGAGAGAAAATACTATAGAGAATTATGAATCATGATTCAGAATTAGGGATGAATACAGGAAACAAACGGATGCTTAAACTAAGAATAGTTTTGAATCATGGTTATGAATTCATGAACCAAATGTCCTCATAAGCATTTGATGTGTACTTCCTCACAGCTTCATAACCCTCTTTGTAATACCTTTTTAGGGTGTCTAGATTCACGCCTGGTGCCAATGGCTCGTTCATTAACTCAATTGCTATAAGGCTTGGATTGTTAGCATATCTGCATGTGTGTGTGTCTATATATATATATATGTATATATAGGTGTAGGAAAATGTACGTAATTCACGTTCATAATTTTAAGTGATCAATCTAATTATTATAAGAATATTGTGTTCTTGTAAGTAATAGGGAGATTTTAGGTTAATGGAGATCGTGTAATTTCTTCTCAATCATTATTTTAACTTAATTTTAACATTAAAAAATTAAAACAAAAGTGTTATCAAGCAAGACATAATTAGAGGAAATTGCTTTAAAAAAAATTTATTATTCCATAAAAAATATATATATTGAAAAAAAAAAGTCACATATCTACTAAATAACATGCAACTTACTAAAGAAAATTGATTAGCCTCACTCTGAAAACTTTTTTGTTTTTTTGTTTTTTTGTTTTTTTTGTTTTCAAAAGAAGAAAAGAAACAAATGCCCCTCAAAAGTCGAAACACTGTAAAAGTCTAAATTTTAGACTCTTACTCTTTATTAATATACTTTTTAGTGAAATAACTATATTATTCAAAAGGATATTAATCAAGAATAATGTCAAAAATTTAGATCAATGCACTATAAAAGTAACTTCAGAATTTTTCTCTTTTCTTTCTCAAAATTTAAAAATATTGGTGGAAAGATAACTTCAGAATTTTTCTCTTTTCTTTCTCAAAATTTAAAAATATTGGTGGAAAGATTCTCCTGAGCAATATATTCGGAAACAAAGCTTCATATTAAAGTACTATTCCAACCAAGGAAACCTAATGGGTCCGTTTATTTCCGGTTTTGAAAACGTTTTTCACATTTTCTGATGAGCAAAAATTGAAACCGGAAAGAAGAATGTGTTTGGGGAAACAGCCTACCAAAATAAAAAATAAAAATGTTTTTGTACTTTTCCTAAAAACTGATCTGTTTCTAAAAACAGATTAAAATCGTTTTCATTTTTTTCGTTTTCACTTTCTCCAGCTCACCTCCATCTCTCTGCCGTTCTCGGATCTCCTTCTTCGCCAATCTCTTCTCTCCCTCTCACCAATCTCTTCTCTCCCTCTTGCCGTTCTCTTCTTTCAGCTATCTCTCTCTCTCCCTCTCTCCCTCACTCTCTCACGTTCTCCTCCTCTCTCTCTCTCTAACTCCCACGATTTCTGTCTCCTTTCTCCCTGAGAGACTCAAATCGAAGCTCAACTAGACAGTTTCCACTTCATATGTCATTAGTATTCCTAATTTTAGAAGGATTCAAGGAAATTTGAAGGTCTTTCTCAACATTTGTGGAATCTAAGGTAGGATTCACTTGCTCCGTTTCTGAATATCTCTTGCAGCCCATTTGGGTTTTTGGTTAGGGCTTCAAATTGATCTGACAATTGATTTGTGGAAGGTAAAGGTGTTGGAAGGTTTTTTTTGTTCACTTCGTCGACGAACCTCCGCAGCTCCTCCCAAATCAACCGAGGTATGGGTTTCAATACTGGTGATTTGGTTCACTCTTGAAGGTGTTTAGCTTATTCTCTGGTTGATTTGGTTTTTAGCTAACTGTTTCTGTTTTGTATATTTCCAGTCGTTGTGTTTGTATGGTACCAATAAAATTGAAAGAATCACATTACAAACCATTCAGGGATCTAACTAACCTTAGAAAAGAGATATAACCCAAATAGTAAGACCTGGTAGGTTCCAAGACTAGACATGCTAAGAGTGGAAATAGCTAGTTTACGGTTTGTATAATAAGACTTGAGGCCTTGATTAAATAGTTTTATCATAATGCCTTGTTCAATTGAAAAAGAACCAAAAGAGAAAGGAAAAGCTAAATAAAATTTGTTTAGGTTCGAATGCTATTACATGTTTTCAAAAATATTAAACTAAACGGAATTTCAGTTTTTTTCTGAATAAAAATACCAAACACATTTTCAGAAACGATTCTTGTCTGAGATTAAAAACATTTTCATTTTCATTTTCATACAGAAAATAAAATTATTTTAGAACGGGTTTCAAACGCGCTCTATGTCAACCTTTTCACAAGGAAATCTATGATTGATACGGTGTCTGGTATGTAGGAATCTCCCCATTCCTTATATCCATACCTTGTGCTACTATGTTCCCAGCCATTTTGAGAGCCGTTAATAACGTGAAGATCTATAATTACCTTCATCCCATAGTTTGTACACAAAGATCAAATAAGATATGATTAGTTATTAATCATTAATATACATAAAATGCTAAACAGCATTGGATTAAATCCACTTGTTAGTGTTGTATTTTCATACGCCATTTATCAACAAAAAGAAATAATAATAATGATAATAAAGGTGGTTCTAATTATACACACACCACTTGATTTTAGACAACCCTTTAAATCAAAATTTATTGCTACAAAAAGATCCTCACATAAAATGACAATAATGACCATTATGATAGACTTTTTTTTCCCCTTCTACTCTCACACGCCCACATGCCATATCGTCAAACAATAAACTCTGGCTGTTGCCGGAGGAAAAAAAAAATACACCCTCACTCTTGCTGTTTCATGGAGGTTTGTTAAATTAGGTAGTGCAATTCTAAAGTTTCAAACCACTATTTTGATATTTGATTAGAAAAAATGTTTTGATTTAATGTAGGGACGAAGTGGTTTTTAAAAACTTTGTTAGGATTTTATTAGTTGGCATGTTTTGGAATTGAGTTGTACAAAATTTAAAAATAGGGTCAAGTTCATGATTGATGTAGATTTAGATTTTGAGGTGATTTTGGTTGTTAATTACTCCGAATTTGGAATGATTTTGTTGATGGAAATCAATATTTGGAAGGACATTTCAGAGAAGTGTTGTGAAAAATCGTAACGCAAGTATACGCTATCGCAATCAAGTAATATAATAGTGAATAAGAATATCGTCCCACGAGAATTGTTGTTTACTAATTACCAAAATTGTATTAACCCCAATTTTATTTGAATACTTGAAAAGAGAGTTTATAAAATTAAGTAAAGCAAAACTAAAACAATTAAATAAATTAAACAATGCTAAACAATGGAATAAAATTCAATAGATTAAGACTCTAGGGTTTCCGATTTCACCAAATTAATCATGTTCAAATTCCCATAATTCAAGAAAATTAACATTCAATCCTATACTGACATCAATTTCTCTAAAGCAATTATTATTCTTTCTCAAGCAACAATAATATTAATCCAACAAGCAAAATCTACATCTCTGTCAACTTCTAAACGTGTTGAAAATAATTAAGTGCAAGAAATTCAAAAGAACTGCACAAGCATCATAGATATCTCTATCCTATGAACAACTCATGGTATTTCAATTAAGAGCTTAGTTAATTATCACCTCTCGGTCTCAAATTAAATACAAAATCATGTAATAGTTGGCCAAACAATCACAAGCATTAAGAATAAATTGAAATACTCAGCATATATGGATTAAACATCAATTACTTAAAAATAAGATTGAGAATTTGAACATTCATAATCCGGCTACATCGTAGCCCTAGAAAAAGGAATTAGTTCATCTCTAAACAAAATAAATTCCTAAACAAAGTCTTAATCATTGGAAAGGAAAGAAAAGAACTAGTTTAGAGTTGAATTGAAGCGTCTCCGTCTCCGGATTTGAGCCGTTCTTCTTCTCCGTCCCAATTCTCCTTTTCTTCTCTTAAATACTCTCTCAAAAGCCAGCCGTCATTCCACAGTCTAAAGTTCCTTTCTAATTGCCCTAGAATCATCTATTTATATGTTTCCGAGCATTAGGGTCAAACGGGTAAGTTTTCTCGTGATTGGCCTTCAAAACGCGTCTTTTCTCGTATCGTAGCGCCGCGGCGCTGAGTTCCTAGTGCTACGGCGCTACTGTGTAAAATCCTGGGCGCTGCGGCGCTGTCATGGGCGCCTAAGCGCTGCCCATTCTGCCCCAATGCACTAATTCCGTCGGATTTCAATGAAATTTTTCCAAAACCTTCTAAATCATAGACTTTCACCTAACCTTCAAACAAAGAACAAAAACACACATAAAAACTAACAAAAACCTTGAAAACCAACTAGATATTAAGTGTAAAATGATACTAAATGAGCGAGTAAAATTCACTCGTCAAGAAGATTTGGAACATTTGATTGACATATTCAATTTAGGAGATTTGCAGATTTGTCAGAAAAAATGTGCTCATATGGAAAAGTGATTTGCTGCATAATTGATTTGAAGAGATTTGAAGAGATATCTTGGATATATTTGATTTGGAGTGTAAATGGTATTGATCTTGGTGCCAAAGTAATATATGCTGCATGTGCTTTGCAAAATAAGGAAAAATTCGGATTGGTGCTATTGCTATATATGTAGCATGTGTGTACGTGAACTTATGGTCTTGGAAGAGGAAAAAATGAGCCTTTGTGTTTTATGGTTATAAAAAGCAATTCAATGTCATATTTTAAGGCATGGTTTTTATAGAAGAAATATTCAGAAAATGTCTATGTGAGTGTGAGCCTTTATGTGTTGATTGAAGATCATCTTTCGGGAGAAGGATTAGAAGCTTTCGGGAGAAAACACACTGCCAGCCGAAGGGATTTCGCCGTGTAGTTTGAAGACGAGTGGTGCTCGCTGGACAAGGCCATTAAGGAGATTCGACACGGCGGCAACAACGTCAAAGAGGGAGTCTTTGGGTGTGTAAGTCCGATTGGTGTTTGTAATCCTTTGATCTTAGTGGATTGTTCATTGTCTGGGCGTGGCCCTGCAGAGTAGGTGTGCGCACAAAACTGCGATACTATTTTCGTGCATCTTATACTTTCTGTTATTTTATTGCACTCACAATCACTGGAACTAAATTAAAAGAAAAACATATTTGTCTATACTTTTACTGTAATCAGTGTTACAACAAGTGTTGCAACACTCTTTGTGATACCGACCAAAAAACAGACCTAACAAACTTAATTAATAATTTGAACTTAAATTTGCAATAAGTTCAATAATATTGAAATAAATTCAAATGTGAGGGTTGTGGATGTAGTTTTCAAAGAATAGGGGAAAAATTTTACATATCAAATTGTGAAAATCCAATTAAAGATGCTTTGCTTACTTTGCCCAAATGGAAAATGAAAGTAGTATCCAATGCTTTCAATCCATTCGTTGACATGAATTTGAAATCAGCTTCAATTATATATGTAAGTGTTACGGTGTTCCTGAAAATTAAACAATTTCGAGTGTGTCTTTCACGTCTTAATTGGTATATTTCAAATATCATTTTGACACACTTATTTGTACAGTAAATTAGAAAACAGAATCGAATATTGGGCTCTATCTTTTTGTAGATTTTAGTACTCTATCTGTAAGAATTGTTTTTTCAGTGAAACCAATGCTGTGTCGTGTGCTATAAATTTTCATGTGGACATTTACAGGTCAGACATTTAAAAAACTAATATAACAGTTAAAACAACAGTCTTTTTTGGTACTGTAAATTAGCAATTTCTACCGTAAGAGTTCTTTTCTTCTTCTTTTTTTTTTTTCATGACTTCTTATTTGGCTTCATAGAAGAAGAATTACCTGCAAAACTTGAAGCGCTCTACCCAGACCATAACCATTAGTCAGTTGGTATTCACCATGTAGAGCATTATCACTTATAATTGTCATTACGAAAACTGATGGATTATTGTCTTCCCATCCTGATCCTCCATAATCCGCAAAAACCTTTATCTCTGATTTTACCTAAGTTATATCCGAGAAACGAGTTATAACAGCTTTTAATTAATGTTTTGATCAGAACTTTTTTTAATAAGAAAAAATCTTTTTTGAACAAGAAGAAAACTATCCTTACGAATAGAAACGTAAAAGAAAATGAAAAAGAAATAACCTAACAAATCTAAAGAAAGAAAACTGATGATATGCACTACTTGCTAACCGATTGTGTGAATAGATTTTTTTTTTATTTATTACAAAAACTCTCCCTGAATTATACCCCTTTATAACACTTTGCCCCTTAATCTTTAAAGCGTAACATCCATTCCCCATGAACAATGAAATTTTAACCAAAAAAAAAACCTCTCTGTTAAGTTCTTAAAAGGAAATTGACATGTAATTTATTATTTTGGGTATTTTAGTAGCTATATGCTTTAAATTTAATTTGAATTTTAAAACTAATTTAAATTTAAAGTTTTAATTATGATACATACATTTCTATAAGTTAAAAACCTTATAAATTTGTTTTGGTAGAATAAAAAGCTTTATAAAAATACATTTCTATAAGTTAATCTCAATAATATTAAAATATTTAGAAAGTATTTTTTAATAATATTAAATAGAAATCTTTGAGTTTTAGAAAACATCTTTGTGGGTACCTGAGACTTTTTTTGGACACAAAATGTCTTTTGTCCCTTCTACCGTTCTTTCTATTTAATTACTTACAGAATGTTTTTAAAAAAATTCTAAAAATATTTCAAACATTAAAAAATTACCTCAAAATTTTATATTTTCAAAATGTGTATTTTAAAAAAATATTTTTGCAACATTTTAAAAATGTTTAAGTTTCTAATTAATTAATTAGAAGTACATAAGGGACATTTTATGTTTCAAAAAGAGTTTGATGGTACGTACCCATATCATGTTTTCTAAAACTCGAAGGTATATGTTTAATATTGTTAAAAAGACAGGACACATTCAAGATGTTTTAATATAAATAGAGAGTACTAAAATGATTTTAGAGAAAAAAATAAAAAATATCACTCAAAATAATAAAATATATATATTATTTATGTTATTGTCCCTTTACTTAGAAATAAACAATTATCATTTAATTAATGAAGAAAAAAATAAAAGACCATAATAACACTTAATTATTTAAAATTGCATAAATAATAAATTTGTAAATAATTACGACAAAATCATGTACTTTTTATGCCTTAATTTAAAGTTATTTGTCCACATTCACGTCTATACAAATTATAGAGTGATGAGTAAATTTTAAAAATGTCTTTGTTCAACTCTTCGACAACTCAACGGTACTAGGAGGATACCACATACGACATTGTCGTTGTTGAATGTGAGTATTTATTTATTTATTTTTTAATGAATGAAGGGAGAGGACGACTGATGTCAAGGGGTAAATTTCAATCAGATTGACACTTACTAGAAACTCAATCCTCCAGCAAATTTCCCAAGAAGCAAAATAAAATTGAAATAAAAAAGCTACCCCAAAAAATTGTTGCTTAGAAGCTTTGGCTTCAAAGTACTAACAACAACACTAATTCGAGGTCCGTTAATTAATTAACGCATTTAAGTCAGTAATTCTAATTCATTAACAAAAATTTTATGAGAGAAAAACTTTTGAATTCAAATTTTTTATGAGAAAAAAAGCATTATAGTAAAATCAAAATCAAGAGTTTAAATATATCTCCTAAACAACCCCTCTTATAGTTTTTAATGACAAATTTTGACATTTTGTGATCGCTAAAGTATTACTCAACCTAACATTCTTCTTTCATACAATAGCAAGCCTGATCATGTCTCACAAGTCAAGCCATGTTACTCATCCTAGTGATAAATGAAAGGATCAATCTCACTATAAGTCATAGACTCATATATGCTATGTGGATAAGATGATTGTAGTGTCGAAGGGTTAAACGATAATGCGTTTGGAAGAAATTAAAGGAGACGTCAACGGAAATGCCCACTTGAATCAATAATATTGGTCGCTCGTTCCATTACTTCAAAACGTGGAAGTGTTAAAATGACAAAAGTACGGGCCATTCCACAAACAAACACACAGGGTAAAATAGCATGGCATCAATGGCCAGTTAAAATTGCTAGCTTATAGTTTCTTGTCTTCTATTCCTGCATTACGAGAAAAAGAGGTTGAGGAAGGGAATTATCATTAACTAGAAGCAAAAAATCATCCGTGTCTTTATCAGCAGTACCATGTCATGTTTTTCTATTACAATGCTTTCAAATTTGTATTGGCTCGCACTACAAGAATCGAGCGCATTAGCTACAAAAGTTATTGGAACGAAATTTTTTACCGCTACAAATGACAATAACGGTGAGTTTTTTCCTTTAAAACCCAATCAAAAGCTAGTCAAATACGGTAAAAGAAATTGTAATTCTTAAAGTATGTTGCGGCGAAAACTTTCACCCCAATCCAAGTAGGAATGTGTTAAAGAGGAGACTTATAGCGAGAAAAAATTTCCTCATTAGAGACACATGTAGCGGCCCCTTAATTTAAAGTTATTTGTCCACATTCACGTCTATACTAATTATTGAGGGATGAGTACATTTTAAAATAGTCGTTTGCCATGTCTTTGTTCAACTCCACGACAACTCAACGGTACTAGGAGGATACCACATACGACATTGTCGTTGTTGAATGTGAGTATTTTTTTTTTTTTTTTAAATGAATGAAGGGAGAGGACGACTGATGTCAAGGGGTAAATTTCAATCAGATTGGCACTTACTAGAAACTCAATCCTCCAGCAAATTTCCCAAGAAGCAAATTAAAATTGAAATAAAAAAGCTACCCCAAAAAAATTGTTGCTTAGAAGCTTTGGCTTCAAAGTACTAGCAATAACATTAATTAGAGGTCCGTTTAATTGACGCATTTAAATTAGTGATTTTGATTTATTATCAAGAATTTTATGAGAGAAAAACTTATGAACTCAAATTTTTTATGAGAAAAAAAGCATTGTAGTAAAATTAGAATCAGTTGTTTGCATATATCTCCTAAACAATCCCTTTTATAGTTTTTAACGACAAATTTTGACTTTTTGTGATCGCTAAAGTGTTACTCAACCTAACATTCTTCTTTCACATAGCAAGCATGATCATGTCCAACAAGTCAAGCCATGTTATTCATCCTAGTGATAAATGAAAGGATCAATCTCACTAGTGCTCCTTAAACTTTGATATCATTCTCATTTTGCCTCCTAAAATTTAACTTTAAAAACTCTCACATCTCGAATTTTGAATTTTTCCTATTCAAGCAGTTTTGTAAGAATATAATATATGTTAAAATTAGATAGAAGAAAGGGAGTTAAGTTTGGGTATGTGGTCTTTAAATGCTTGTTTTTAACAGAAATTTAAATAGAAATGCCATGCATTACTCTATCTTTTTCTTTGTTTTTAATAGAAATTAACAATATAAGGAATTAAGTAAGAACTATTCAAAATTCAGAGAGTAAAATGAGAGTTTTGAAAGTACGAGGACATACTAAGAATGACCATAAAATTTAGAGATCCTAGTAATAATAATCTTAATACTGAAAGCTCATTGTTGACGGTAAAAACTAGCCAACAGTTTAATAACAAGTTTGTGGTTTGTGCTCGGATTAAATAAACTCTAAACGCGAATAATAAGAAGAAAAGAAACAAAATCAACATAATGGTTTTATAGTGGTTCACTCTAAAGCCACGTCAACTGAATTTTTCACTATTCTTGGTGGAGAAAATACAAGTTATGGGGAAAGGGTGTTCAATAATCCGAACCCCATTTAGCCCATCCTTTCTGCTTATATACATCATGTCATTTCTGCAAACTATCAATCATCTAATCAATTCTCATAATATCTTCACCATACTCCGGAATAGTAGCCTCTGATCACCGAGATTTCAGCTTGTCTGTCTGACTTTTTCCACCAGCTTCACCACCTACTTGCATGCATTTAATGCACATCAAATCTTGGTACAGTTGTACTATAATCTGGACGTGGGTGAATTCGTCACCTTCGGCTCCTTGAAAACGCTCTTCGTTTATGGCTAGTGAAGCATCCGTCTCTGTGGTGTGGCCTTTGTTCCTTGTGGTCAACTCCTTCAGCGGGATTGTTTCACTTCTAAAAGTCGACATTCACCAAGTGTGCTCTACCGTCACTTCGTATTTTCATTTCTTAATTATTTTATGTTCTAATCACACTATGTGGCGCCCAATCATTGTCTCGTGTGGGGTTTAAGATTTTAAACCACAACAGTCATAATTGGAATGATTAGCTTATGTACAAACTCCACTTATAAAATATGTAATGTAACCATATATGCCTCGTTTACTTCGCAGATTTAAATTTTCAATTTGAGTTGAGATGTGATATTTTTTGAGAGCTTTTTACTGTAACAGAAAAAATTAGATGTGATATTTTTTGAGAACTTTTTACTGTAAAAACTTAAAACTAAAAACTCAAATCGGTGAAATGAACGATGCCATAAATTCCACATAGGGTTGGCAATCCGGGTAGCGACACGACAACACGACTCGAAACCCGCACGAAATTGGCAGGTTTGGGTATATCATAAATAGGTCCGGGTCAGAATCAAGTCAAACTCGTGAAACACGACGCCAACCCACAATTGACCCGTCATAACCCGTTTATTAAACGTGTCATATTTAGATAACACGATTATACAACCCGTTTATTACCTAGGTTAAAAAAAAGTTTAACTATTTATATTCTCTTTCTCTAATCTCCCTCCCACTCCCCCAGCTGCGGCCGCCTCTCTCTCTCTCCGCTCTCTCTCAACTCTTCGGTCTCTTGGTCTCCTTTCTCTCTCTCTCCACTCTTTCTCAACTCTCATCTCCGCCGCCTAATCTCAGGCCACTGGACAACTGCCTGATCTCAGTCCACCGGACCACCGCCGCTTCTCATTTCTTCTTCTTTCCTTTCCACTCGCCACCAGTGTTTCTCCATTGCAAGCAAACACGGTCACGGTAAAACCCATCCCCGTTCGTTCATTTCTTCCCTTTGGATTTTAGTTTACTTGTCTTTTCTTTTCCCTAACTTTTCTTTTCTCGTCTTGGATTTCAGTTTTCGCTTGTTCTTGCTTGTTCTTCTTCGGATTCAGAACATTTGTTTTTGGTTGTTCTTCTTCGAAAACCGAAACAGGTATTTCACCTCCATTTTTATTTCTTGTTTTTGTACATATTTTGATTCAACCTTGGAGAGGCAGGGAAAAGGGGAATAGATTCGATTTCCGTGTTTCTGTACATGCTTTGCCGTGTGTGTGTGTATGGTACAGATTAATGTTATATTGCTTCCGTTTGTTTTACTTTTTTTTTTGTTTTGGTTTTACTTGCTAGCTAGCAAGTTTGGTTGTCCTAATTTGTTATTATTATTATTACTATTATGATTATTATTATTATTGTCACCGTAATAAGATCATTAGCAACAAACACAAGGCTTTAGAATTTTAAAGGGGCTGTTAATTTTAATTATATGTCAATATTACTGTCCATTGCCTATGTTAGTTTATGAAAAATATCTAGTAATAGTGATAACTTGTGGGGATTTGTTTTGGCCTTGTTAGAACTGGACTTCTAGTTAAATCAACTTTGAAAACACACACATAGTGTAGGTTATATGCTATTCAGATAGAATGTATATATATATACACACACATAGTGTAGGTTTGAAGTTATTCCATCGTAGATTGTATTTGCTTTTTAATATAACATATAGGTTCATTTCCGTAAAGAAAGAATAATAAATAAAAATAAAATTATATATAGTTTATTGTGGAACTTGTTTCAGGTGTTTCTTCTCTGCCTGCTGGCCGGTTGTAGCATATATTGGTATTGTTTGTGATTTTTACTTATATTGGTAATGTTGTATGCTTTGTGCAGATTATATTGGTTATATTAGTAATGTTGATTATCTTTGAATAATTTTCCGTCTTTTCTTTCTTTATTGTATTTTTTTTTTCTTTTCTGGTAAATAGTTGGCTCTTTTTTTGCTCTTCATTTGTTGCATACATGCATCTCTTTCACATGATTATGCATCTACGGCTTTTGAGTTTGTTGCATACATGCATCTATTTCTTTATGCGACCATTTCTTTATGCATCTAGGGCTTTCGAGTTTTGACTGGTTTTTGTCAACATATTAGCTTTGCTTGAAAGTTTCTTTGTTTAATTCTCCATAGGCTAGTGATTGAGTTGAGGTCTACCGTTTTTGACCATATGTTATGAGGTGAATATTAGAAAACTAATGATGACCAGTTCTGTTTTCGAGATTTCTTAAGGAAAATGTGCTTAATTTAACACAATGGAAATTGATCTTGAGTCAATTGAGTCTCAAAGTGTGGATGTTGAGGTTGAAGAGATTGACGGATCGAGTTTTAATACCGAAGCTCAAGGCGCCGAACTCCAGAAAAGAAAAAGGAAGCCGACCTCAAAAGTTTGGAGTCACTTTGTTCATCTTCCTTTGGGTCTGGACAAGAAATTGAAGGCCAAGTGCAAACAGTGTAGCTCTGTGTACCTCGCGGACAGCAAGTACGGAACTAGTAATCAAAAACGCCATCTTGTGAATTGTCTGAAAACCTCCTACCGTGATATAGGGCAGATGCTCATTGCCCAAGAAGCTGGTGCAGTGACACTTGGTGGAGGTAGGTATGATCCCGAAAAATTTCGTGAGTTGATTGTAGCAGCTATAATCATGCATGATCTACCTTTTAGTTTTGTTGAATATGCGGGAATAAGGTCTGTATTTCAGTACTTGCACCCTCAAATTCAATTGATCTCTAGAAATACTGCAAAGGCTGACGCTTTAAAGTTTTACAAGAGGGAAAAGCTTCGAATTAAATTGATGTTAGAGACTATCAAAGGTAGAATTAGCTTTACTTCTGATGCATGGACTTCTTTGACTAGTGATGGATATGTTTGTCTCACTGTACATTTCATAGATAAGAATTGGAACTTGCAGAAAATAGTGTTAAACTTTAGTTTTATGGCACCCCCATATAGTGGCGTTGCTTTGTCTGAAAAACTTTATGCCTTTTTGAGTGAATGGGGAATTGAAAACAAGGTGTTTAGTGTGATATTGGATAATGCTTCTGCAAATGGTGTTTCTGTTGACATGTTAAGAGAGCAACTAGTTGTGAAAGGGGTTCTTGTACACAATGGCGATCTATTTCAAATGCAATGTTGTGCACGCATACTAAATTTAGTTGTGCAAGAGGGTTTGAAGCAGATTGATGATTTAATTGTTAAGATCCGTGATAGTGTCAAATATGTCAAGGGATCCCAAGTGAGGAAGTAAAAGTTCTTAGATTGTGTGAAGTTAGTTGCAATTGGTGATAAGAAAGGGTTGTGTCAAGATGTACCAACTAGGTGGAACTCGACATATCTTATGCTTGAAAGTGCTGTTAACTATCGCCGTGTATTTCAACATTTAGAGTTGAGTGATTCAAACTACAAGCATTGTCCTTCTAGTGCCGAGTGGGACAAAGTTGAAAAGATTAAAACTTTTTTGAAGTTGTTCTATGATGCAACTCTTAAATTTTCTGGAACAAAGTATCCCACTGCCAACTTGTACTTCCCTTCCATTTGGTATTGTTGCTTCATGTTGAAACAATATTTAGAAGGTGATGATGAGTACTTAAAGTATATGGCAACAGTAATGTGAGGCAAGTTTCAAAAGTATTGGTGTCAATTCCATCTTACCTTGGCTATAGCATGTGTTCTAGATCCTCGTTTAAGCTTGGGCTTGTTGAGTTCAGTTTCAAAAAGCTTTATGGAGATGATTGTCTTGAATGCATATCAATGAGGAGTACGTTGTACTCTATTTTTGAAGGGTACAAAAAAAAGAAGGATTCAACTAGCCAAAAGACCAATGCTTTTGAATCTTGTATGATGAAAAAAAAAGGAAATGATGATGTGGATGTTATATTCAAGGTAATTTATCTATTTATTAGTAATGCGGATGTTCTATGCTTATGTCTAATTGTGTATTCTTATACTATATCCTTCTCATTTTGTAGGAATTTGATGAGATGTCTTCAGTTGAGTCTACTATCGCATCACAAAAATCAGAGCTTGACCTTCATTTGGATGAGCCAAGACTGGCTAGGACCGCGGAGCTTGATATCCTTTCCTTTTGGAAATCAAACCAATTTCGATATTCAGCACTAGCTTCTATGGCTTGTAATATATTGGTTGTCCCTATTTATACAGTTGCTTCTGAAGTTACATTTAGTGTTGGTGGTAGAGTTCTTGATTCATTTCGTAGCTCACTTAAACTGAAGACAGTTGAAGCACTTGTTTGTACCAGAGATTGGTTATATGGAGACAAATGTAGTTTCAAACTTACTTAAATTATGTATATTTCCTAATTGATTTTGAACTAACTTATATCTATATGTATTTGTTTTTGTGTAGATTTCAATGAAGAGGTGGAGGATCTTACACAAGATATCTTTAACTTTTTATTGAAAGAAGAGGAGTCTTTCTCACAGGGATCAACTTCTCCTGAACGTAATGATGCACTTGGAGTCCCCCTACTGCAACAAATTATTTAAATGTTTAATTATTAATCATCTATGTTTGTTTTCTAAATTGTGAGACTTTTATGTGTTTATTTTTTAATTTGTGAGACACTTTCATGTGTTTGTTTTAATTTTAAACTTAGATTATGTAATGTCTCTATATCATGTTAAACAGGTTGAGAAACATGTTCAGGAATAGGTTATGAAATAGGTTCAAAGGTGTTGACGTGTTGACAGTAACCAGGTCATAAACGTGTTGACAGGTAATTAACGGGTTGACACGATACGTTTATGACCTGTTTCGTAAATGTGTTGGCAGGTAATCAACGGGTTGACACGACACGTTTACGACCTGTTTAAAAAATGGGTTAATCGAGTCGTGTCGTGTCAACCCACTAATAAACATGTCGTGTTTGAATTTTAAATTTTGACACGATTAATAAACAGATCGTGTTCGTATCAAACTTATTCGTGTTAACTAAAAAATTTAACACGACACGAAGACAACCCATTAACATAAATTGACACCTTTAATTCCACATTCAAATGAAAATACTCTCCTATCATATCATACCCTCTTTCCAATTGAATATTTTGT